TTAATTCAATTATTTTCCGTGATCGTACAAACTTTGAATGAGATTCACCAGGCTGCTTATTTACTACTTCTAAAGGTTGAACTGTTAAATATTTAATAGGATGATTGTGCTTTTTAAGGTGTTGATAAATGATACTTTTGAATTTATTGGGTCTTTTAAAACGATACAGGTGTTCTTGCGTGCGTTTAGATAAATATCGTCCAGTTTCACCTACGTACTGAATACCGCATCCCGGTTTGTTTCATGTGAGTAAATAAATAATACTGTTTGTTTTTCAAGTTGTATCAGTTTCAAAATTTAAAGAAAATGTGCGACCATTAAACGTAGACCTTACCGTATTGTTGGTGGAAAGACGGGGACAAGTAAGTCATTTTTTGGCATGACACTTATCGATAGAAGGGTAACCACGATTTTTATTGTTAAAAATGTTACTATGGTAGTATTTTTAGATAAGCGATTTTGAAGATTGAGACGTGTAGATACCCTTTGAACGAGTTTAGTATTTAATATTTTTCCATTTCTAAGCTTCATATTTGTTTTTTGTTATGTGGATTTTATTAGAAAGGAGCAAAGACTGGCGTCCAGAATATGAACCAGCACACAATAAATTGAATTATGTGAATATGATCAAACTGTTCGGCTAAAGACATCAAACGCTATCCGTCAAACGCTTGCCTTGAATTTGTTTAATTTCTCCTTAAATTGATCACATGGTACGGAAAGAAAGGTACAGAAAGAAAGATATTGACATGGAGATTGCAAAACTAGTCACTTTGAGCACCTCAATACTTGTGTTTCTGAGAATGGAACGAAAGAAATGGATCATGTCAAAATGGAAGCACCTGGTTTTGTCAATGTGTACAACCCAGTTTTGTCCTAGATTTCACAACGCAGAACCCAGTTTTGTCAAAGAAAAAAAAAAAGGCATAATGGCATAACATAATTGAACTTCAGCAATTAAAAGGAGTTTGGTGGCTGGTTAGAAAACTATTTCATACAGAGGACAACTTATTATTTATTTGAATCTGTAAACACTTGAATTCCTACTTTATTGGAACAAATATAATTATAATTTTGCTTTGCATTTAAAAAAAAATACTCTAACTACGATAGAAAGAGATGATGGTTAAACCGCAAATTGAGGTTTAAGCTCTCTATACGTTTTTTTTTATATGAATTATGTAAATTTTAGTGTTCAAACTTAAAATTAGAGTTTATGGTCTTAAAAATTGAAGAATGCACATTTGATATGTGATTTTCTTGCACAACAGGATGGTTATCTTTATTAGTAATCCAATCTTCTTAGGGGTGTAATATTTCCTATGATCGTTTAAAATAAATCTTCTTAAGGCTAAATGTTCATTATATGGCATGATAATCAGACAAATGTATATATGCTTGCAGAATTGCCATAGAGAATGAATGTTTATGGTGAGAAAAGGATTACAATAATCATGCATTAAAAATCAAATCCATCTATCCCTAATTGTAACTATAATACTAAGTATAAATTAGTATAATATATTAAGTCTCAGGCCATCAAGAAAATGCAATAATGATTATTTTATTAATAGTTGTATAAATAAATGGTTCTGTTATCTCTCCATTGTGGTATGATAATCGTACATTGACGTTGGTCAATATATTATTGACAATATATAGGGACCAATTCAGGTTTTTCAAAGTGGACGTAATTCAAACATTTAACATACCGCAGAGGGTAGGGAAGCAAACAATGTTTTGGACGAATTAAGCTAAAAAAAATCGTAAAAAAAAGATTTAATATTTTTTGGGCCATCAAAGGTGGGGGTTGGAGCGTGTGACCTATACGCCGCCTGGAGTCGCCACTGATGTTATATAGCTAAATGGTATACCAGCTTAAAATATTAAAAGAAATAAGAAAGCAGGGACACCCGCGAAATTGGATGTATGTGAGTAGGATTATCATGTTTATTCTAAAAATTCACATTGATATTTTGGAATTGTCGGAATGTGAGACCAAGGGATGCAAATTTGTGGCGGCTTGAACTATTTGTATGAAGCTTCATATGTCAGAAGTTAGAAGGCCTGACTGCAACATACCTTGCACACAGATCTTTTATGTAACGATGTTTCTATCTGTCATATGTCCATTGCCCTTGACCTCATTTTAATGGTTCAGCGAATTCCTAACAAAATGAATAGCTGATAATGGTTGATATCTATGATCAAGGTTAACATTTTGTGTTCAAGTCCGTATCTCTAATACCATAAGTAATAGGTCAACTATATTTGCCCGTATGGGGCATATGACTATTTGAGAGACCTTGAACTTATTTTCTTGATTAATTGGTAAATCTTCAGTTTTTTTGTTGGTTGGTTTTAATGATTGTAATGTGCTGATGTCCGTCTGGCAGGTTTCATCAGACCTTGACTTTTTTATGGTTCCATGAACAATATTAATTTTATGAGATACTTTTATTAAATTATTTATCTGACAGATCTTCAAAATAAATTCTATAACAATCATTCCAGCAGTCGCGACATGTCAGTGTGTACAGTCACTCTTGTATAAATAATACGTAGTATTTATTTTTGTTAAAAAAAAACGCAATTGAAGTTGTTTTGCCATGTCTGATTAGTTAATCTCGTTCTTGTAAGTCTTAATTATGAATTGTTAGACTTTTTTTTAATTCAAGAACGGTGCAATCTTGTTTGGAATTCTTGGTTAGTTTTAGCTCACCTGACCGCAAGGGAAAAGTGAGCTTTTTTCATCACTTGGCCCCCGTCGTCCGTCGTCTTCCGTTAATTTTTTACATAATCTTCTCCTCTGAAATTACTGGGCTACAATACATTTAACAAACCTTATCCACAACCTTATGTCGGGTTTAAAAGGTCTAACGATATTATGTTTAACTGTTTTTCATCATCATTGGGGTAGCTAGTTTAAAAAGTTTTTGATGACCCCGCTTGTCAACAAAGATGGCCGACATGGCTTAAAATAGAACATAGGGGGATGCAAGTTTTGTCTATTATTTGAAAACAGCTATAGATAGAGAAAATTTAACACGGGCAGATATGTTCATAATGAGCTCTACCTTTTGTCCATACACATCAAAACTCTCACACGAATTCTTATAGAAGTTAATGTCCTTGAATGACAAATTTCTCCTTTTTTTCCATTTTTGTCTATTATCTTGAAATATATAAAAGTTATATAGCAAAAATGATCAGCAAGACAATATATACGAATAAGTCGACTTGGTCGATATCCTTGTAAGAATTATTGACCTTTAATTACGATTTTTACCATTTCTTTGTGTTTTTTGCCAATTATCTTACAAAAATCTTCTCCTCTTTAACAATTTAATCAAACTTGGCCACATGCTTTATTGAGGTATCTGGTTTAAAAACCCACATGATCAGCCATTTGTAAATTTATTTTTTGTTTCAGGGTACCAGTGTTAAAGTTGCTTTTCATTAAAATAAACAAAACCGGGTTCTATACATAGACAAAACCGGGTCATTGTGTAGTTAACAACATTGACAAAACCGGGTGCTTCCATTTTGACATGACCTATTTCTTTCGTTCCATACTCAGAAATACAAGGATTGAGGTGCTCGAAGTGACTAGTTTTGCAATCTCCATGTCAATATCTTTCTTTCTGTACCTTTCTTTCCGTACCATGTGATCAATTTAAGGAGAAATTAAACAAATTCAAGGCAAGGTTCACTCAATTTGTCATTTTGACGTGCATTTTTACTTATTTCTCCGTTAATCTAGAATGCTTGTAGAAAATATTACACCTCAAAATAGAAAATAGTTATATATATATGCCGGATATTAGATACCATCGAGTCCAAACATTTTTTGCCTGGGTAGTTAATACACAGTGATTTAGTCAATGTGTAAACAGAAACAGGAAGTTGCAAAAGGGAAACAATTTTGGAGGGAAAAAGTACAAAAACTGAGTATTGTCAAATCTTGTCAAATAATTCTGGTGGCAATAATTCAAATATTTATAAAGTTATCAAACACAACCTTTAAAGGTGATAGTTATGTTTCAATTGGCAAATATAATTTTTTATTGATAATCCACCTTTAATAAAAAAAAAAAGAATTCTTTAAAAAAAATTAAGTTTCTTTCAGATGCATCTTGGAATATGTTAGCCTTTTTTAAACATGTCTTTAATAGCATTTAAGTACTTATAGAAAGGTTATTCCATTTCTTTCTTTGATATTAAATAATATACTTTTTGTAATTGCAAAATTGTAATTTAAAAGATGTAAATAAAAGTGAATGAAAAAATTCCAATTTTTTCATTCAAAACTTTCTTTCAATATGTGTCAATTAATTATGAAGTTGTAAATGAAATACATAACTAGTTTATAAGTCAAACAAATAAAAGTGGGAGAAAAGATAAACCTACTATGCTACATTGTACAAACTTACTCTTGAAAAAAGGTGGGGAGGGTTGGTAATGAAATCAAATTGTTTGAATTATCTAGGCATTTTGGTTTTTAAAGCTAAATAATAAAAATGTAACTTATTTTCATTTCTGTTAATGCATATGTATAAAAAAAATGCAGGTCTTTGTCTGTTATATATAATAGAACCAACATGGCAGTTAGAAATAAAAGAAACATCTGCTGTTGTCTGTTTTATGGTCGGGTTGTTGTCTCTTTGACACATTCCCCATTTCCATTCTCAATTTTATCACATCGCAAAAATGAATCAATCTAATATCGTGCTTACTACAGCGCTATCAAAAAATCCTCGGGAGAACACTGAAACATGTATGTAAGATGCAAAAAATCCTAAATTATGCACCTACATGAACTTTTTAAAGGCCAAAGAAACAGATGTAAACAATTTAAATATACCAACTTGGTCATTTTTCCTTTTTCTAACAAACAGTTCCATTTCTTTTGTTTAATTTCAACTGGATATCAGATGTTGTTGTATTTGTTCTGTTCCTTTTGTTTATTTTGAAAAACATTGACAGAATTAACTACTAACCTTGAAAACCTCTGGTATAAGACCAATCATCTTTGGCAATCCATCTATATCTGTCATCATTGTCTCTATAGTATGGGTCATCAATTTGATTATTGTTTATAAGTGAAGTATAGATATTTCCTGGCACTGTGCCAACGACTGTTAAAAGTTTCTCGATCTTATAGAAACAAAATTGTGTGTAATAACTATGAACATTTGAAATATCTCCTCCCTGACATCGAGACCATCTTGTATCTAAAATTACATGAAAAAAATCAAATTAATAGATTTACATTGGGACCATTTTTAGTATGGTCACTTTGTGTTAAAGTTACATCATAAGAAGATGTGTTAAAGTTACATCATAAGAAGATGTGTTAAAGTTACATCATAAGAAGATGTGTTAAAGTTACATCATAAGAAGATGTGTTAAAGTTACATCATAAGAAGATGTGTTAAAGTTACATCATAAGAAGATGTGTTAAAGTTACATCATAAGAAGAACACTCTTTAAAAATGGTTTTCATGTTTGTGATAATTAGTTAGGAATTTTGCGAGAAGATATTATGACAAACTTTCTTTTACCATCATAGTATCATAAATGTGTGAAATATTGTTTATACATATACAAATAAATATGTCCCATGCTGAAATAATAACCACGACCATCCTTGATACCTGGATCTGAGTTACAATTTTTGAGTTAAAGATATCTTCAACCATCTCACTGTTTAAGTATTCGGTAAACAGGAAGTTGATGAGCCATGAATGTGAAAACGTATCACAGGAAGCTTGGTGCCGAATTTAAGGAAGCTCTGATTTGTATTTCCTGAGGGGTAAAACAGTATACCCCCTCCCCCCCCCCCTCATTTGGAGCAGGAATATTAACTAATAATTTATAGTTTTTCCATAAACTTTTAAAGATGTTGTATTACTGACAATTTTTTTATGTTTAAAGTTTCAGTCTGTCTATAATAGTTTTCAAAACAAAAGAAAAACACCAGAATTTGTCAAAAATCTCATTCATTGGGCAACAACTATAAGAAGTTTTAAATTCATATTTATTCCAATTTTTTTCTTCAAAATTGGACAATGAAAATAAAAAAAACTCACATGAATTAGTTTGCAGCCGATACCTCAAACTGTTCTTAAGATAATAGTAATCATAAAAATTGTTAAAATCAACTTAATCATAATGACATTGTATTCTCTGCACTGTAAAATTGTTAACTTATATGCCATTATTTATTTTACATAAGTTTTATTTTTAGCCATCACAACCATGTTGGTTGATGAACTGCAATATTATTTACAAACAATATTCTATACACCCTAAGGATCAATCAAGATAAGTTTTGTTTGAATGGGTTCAGTATTTTCAGAGGAGAAGAAATTTGAAAAAGATTATGAGACAACAGACCAGGGATGGCAACAATTGCAAGTAATGGCTAAAGCTCATCATGCCACATGAGCTAATAAAGAAAATTCATTGTAAAATGAACTTGGCAAACTGTCTAAAATGTTTTAAAATCTCTAAATTATGCAGGAATAAATTTCAATTGGTTCCAATTTTCTTAATTCAGATGACTTTTAAATGTATTTATTGAATTAGCAGTAACATTTGCTGTGGATAAAATTGTTCCATAAATGATAACCATAAGAATATTGATGAGAGATTTGTCTGAGTTATGATATTACCACATTTAATTTCAAGACAAATGCAGATACTAAATAGAACTGTAGTCATCAGTTTGCAAAGAATTCTGCTGAAACCGGTCCTAGGGCCGTCTTAAACTTGCAGTGAGGTGAGAGTTTTTTACCTCTTGTTGAAGGCCTCACTGTGACTTTAAAATAAAGAATAGCAATAAAACTGCTGTTCCTTTGCTTTTTGTGTTATTTGCAGTGCAACTACATGTACTGAGTTTATGTCATGGATGGATACCCAGGGAGTAACCCCATATCCTTTCTTTTCTATTACTTACCTTCTAATCTACACACATCTTCCAAAGTATCTACAAAATAAACAAAAACAAAAACAAAATATACGACTTAGCAAAGAAACAAGTGTTAAAGGCAGTTTGAACATATTGCAAGGGAGGAATTTTGCACTAAAAATTTAACATTGCAAAAAGGGGTTATCAGTGGTGGGGAGGAAGGGGGAAAAGGATAATAACAACTTATTTGTAGATCTTACTTTGCTGAACATTATTGCTGTTTACAGTTTATCTCTATCTATAATAATATTCAAGATAATAACCAAAAACTGCAAAATTTCCTTAAAATTACCAATTCAGGGGCAGCAACCCAACAACAGGTTGTCAGATTTGTCTGAAAATTTCAGGGCAGATAGATCTTGACCTGATAATCAGTTTTACCCTATGTCAGATTTACTCTAAATGCTTTGGTTTCAGAGATATAAGCCAAAATCTACATTTTACCCCTATGTTCTATTTTTAGCCATGGCGGCCATCTTGGTTGGTTGGCGGGGTCATCGGACACATTTTTTAAACTAGATACCCTAATGATGATTGTGGCCAAGTTTGGTTAAATTTGGCCCAGTGGTTTCAGAGAAGATTTTTGTAAAAAGCTTACGATGACGACGACAACGGATGACGGACGACGGACGCCAAGTGATGAGGAAAGCTTACTTGGCCCTTTGGGCCAGGTGAGCTAAAAAAACAAATCTAACAGGTACAAGATAAAAACCAACTGCATTACAGTAAAAGGTGGATCAAAACACAAAAAAAACATGATTTTGAAAGGAATAATAGTGAAGTACCAGTTACCTTCAGATATTCACAGTTTTTTCTTGAATATTATCAAACAGAAACTCTGGAAATATTTTTTTAACATAGGAAGGGCTACCAAAAGTTAGGTTCATTACCACAGACATGGACTTTAACTCTTCTTATTAGCAAAGAAAATCAAGTTACTAGCATGGTGATTTTTGCATGATATATTATAAGTATGAGATTCAGTTACGGTCACTCATTAATCTAGCCACTAATTAATAGAATTTCCTTTTAATCGGGACATTAATGTACTATTTCACTTTTGAGTAGACAGAAGAGAAAAAGGTATGTCAAATGACCAAACACATCATTGTGGTCATTGATTTGGGTACTCTCCTTGCTTCTCTAAATTTGATCAAATTTAAAGTATATGTCACTTGAAATCAACAAGTTACACTGTATTGAAGAGGATAATGGACTCTAATTCTTAAACTTATAAATTTTTAAAATTCTATTTAAAACTTTTCCAAAATCCATAAATCGATGATATCATGTCCCCATACATGTATTTTGCCCTGATGCGTTAAAACAGTATATTTCACATGTCTTAATCAAATCAGACAAAACAGAGGTTTTACCAATGAAGTCTTAGGATAACAGCAGTACGATGTATTTATGCAATATTTCAGTTGTTACATAAAATGCAAAGTGACTGTAACGGGTCCTAGAGAGAACACTCAAATTTTCAAATACAAAAAAATCAGATTTACACAGAAATAATAAGAAAAATAGTTTATGGATAGTGTTTCTCTAAAAGATTAAAAGCTCCTGATCCAAACATGAAACCCATCAAGTTACACAACACATCTAAATATTTCACTTTCATATTATGGAATATATCTTAGATGAACTGTTGAATAAAAAGACAATTCATACTAATTCTTGTCAAAAACACAAATACTAGTAGATTTTGCAATAAGAATAATTGATCATTTAATCAAAACGGAACCTCTCTTTAAGCTGAAGAGTTTGTACAAATTAGACTAGTGTTTGTCGTACAGAGGTTAAATACTACAGAATAATTTTGATGTCCTTGTACAAGAGACTTTTGGTTTACATAGGGTTCTATATTCAAACTTGTTTTGCTGTCTCTGTGTAATGTTCGATATCAACTAGAGGCTCAATGAATACTGAAATGATCTGTACAGTTTCTGTTTTTGTTTTCAAGATAATATAAAAATAAATGTGGATAGTGTTCACATGTGGACACAGATGATGCCCCCGCTTGCATATCATATATTTATAAAGGGACATAACTGAAGAACAGTAAAAGTGACGCTACCCATATTTGAACTTGATCTGAGTTTTGTGGTAATAAGCATTGTGTGTAAGTCTTATAACATTTGGTTGAGGCTAACTTAAGTAGAGAACAGAAGCTAAAAATTCAGCAATTTTTCTATTTGTAAACACGCATAACTCTAGAACGGTTGTGTATAAGTTTTATAACATTTGGTTGAGACAAACTAAAGTTAGATGTTTATAAAGGGACATAACTCAAGAATGGTAATAGTTGTTCTACCAAATTTCGTACTTAATCTGTATTATGTAGTAATAAGCAATGTGTATAAGTTTCATAACATTTGGTTGAGGCAAACTAAAGTTAGAAAACGGAAACAAAAAATTTGTACTTGATCTTAGTTTTGTGGTAATGAATATTGTATATAGGTTTCATAATGTTTGGTGGGGCAGACTTAAGTTACAGAATGGAAACTAAAAATTTTGCAATCTTTCGATTTATAAAGGGGCATAACTCAATAATGGTTAAAGTGACACTACCCAAATTCAAAATTAAACATTGCATTGTATAAAGCATTGATTGTAGTTGATTCAACTATAATCATGGACAATGGAAGATAACTCTAATTTTAAAAATTACTTGATATTTAGAAGAAAATAAAAATTTTGCAATTTTTCCATTTATAAAGGGGCATAACTCTAGAACGGTTTAAGTGACGCCACCAAAATTCAAACTTGATCTGTGTTTTGTGGTAATAAGCATTTTGTATAAGTTTCATAACATTTGGTTAAGGCAAACTTAAGTTAGAGAACGGAAACTAAAATTTTGCAATTTTTCCATTTATAAAGGAGCATAACTCTAGCACGGTTAAAGTGACGCCACCAAAATTCAAACTTGACCTGTGCTTAGTGGTAAAAAGCGTATTGTATAAGTTTCATAACATTTGGTTGAGGCAAACTTAAGTTAGAGAACGGAAACTAAAAATTTTGCATTTTTTTCCATTTATAAAGGGGCATAACTCAAGAATGGTTAAAGTGACCCCACCAAAATTTAAACTTGATCTTTATTTTGTGGTTATAAGCATTGTGTATATGTTTCATAAAATTTGGTTGAGGCAAACTTAAGTGAGAGAGTGGAAACTAAAAATTTTGGTATTTTTCCATTTATGAAGGGGCATAACTCTAGAACAGTAAAAGTGAAGACACCTAAATATAAACTTGATCTGTGTTTTGTGGTAATGAGCATTGTGTATAAGTTTCATAACATTTGATTCAGACAAACTTAAATTAGAGAACGAAACTAAAATTTTTGTAATTTTTCCATTTATAAAGGGGCATAACTCTAGAACGGTTAGAGTGATGCTACCAAAATTCAAACTTGAGCTGTATTTGGTGGTAATAAGCATTGTGTATAAGTTTCATAACATTTGGTTGAAGCAAACTTATGTTAAAGAACGGAAACTAAAAATTTTGTAATTTTCCTTTTATAAAGGGACATAACTCTAGAATGGTTAAAGTGAAGCTACCAAAATTCAAACTTGATCTTTACTTTGTGGTAATAAGCATTGTGTATATGTTTCATAACATTTGGTTGAGGCAAACTTAAGTTAGAGAACGGAAACTAAAAATTTTGCAATTTTTCCATTTATGAAGGGGCATAACTCTAGAACAGTTAAAGTGACGCCACCAATATTCAAACTTGATCTTTATTTTGTGGTAATAAGCATTGTGTATAAGTTTCATAAAATTTGGTTGAGGCAAACTTAAGTTAGAGAACGGAAACTAAAATTTTTTTTAATTTTCCATTTATAAAGGGCATAACTCTAGAACGGTTAAAGTGACGCCACCAAAATTCAAACTTGATCTGTGTTTTGTGGTAATAAGCATTGTGTATAAGTTTTATAACATTTGGTTGAGGCAAACTCAAGTTAGAGAACGGAAACCAATTTTGGGACGTGCGTTCATACGTACATACAGACGGACAAGGGTAAAACTTAATGCCCCCTACGCTATGGCAGGGGTATAAAAATAATAATATTGAATTCACAGTATTTGGATAATTTAAAAAACACTTCTTTCTATATTATTTTACTCATAGAATTGCTGATGTGTAAATGATTGAGAACTAAAGAGACATACAGTCACGCTATATGGGCATACATACTGTTTGGATAAAATGTAATATAACTAGGTCTTGGATTCTGTGAAGCTAACTTTAGAAGAAAAATGTTGTCAATTGACATTCCAAACAAACATCCATCAAAACCACTATAACTTGAGGTATCTGGAAAAAAAAATAGGACAACTTTTAGCTTACCAAATTGCTTTTGTGCCTTAATGCCCACGGCTGGAGACTATATCTTGCTTTCTCCATGTGAAAAGCAATGCATCATTAGATCATAGTGTTTTGAATAATGAACCATCTATTTTGTTGTTTTTATTCCTTCTGCCCAAACTATTAGCTTTAAAAATCAATAAAAATATTCAAAATACAAAATTTAATTCATCTAATTGTATTATTGTGAACAACAGAAGATGTACATGTTAATATATTGATCAAATGAATGGTTTGAGCAGAAATTTTAACATAGAGGTTTAATAATGAAGGAATTGAATCAAGTATACTTAAAGAATTTCTTTCAATCCATACTTTTGTTCTAAAAAGTTAAAACATTTAACCAAAAATTTTAAAAAAAATATGAAACTCTCCTGGATACTTCAAAAACAAGGAATAATACAAGAAATTGTGTTCATTTTATAGCTGTACCAAACACATAAAACATCATCAATGAACTATTTGATAAGCAGTACAAATGTATATATAAAGTAAATGTCTTACCATTACTTCCAATAAACAAAAATCTTATGTTACTTGGAAAATCAAATTGTAACACATCTGATGTTATAGTGTCATTGTCAACCTGTAATAATAAGTGAAATTAAGCTTTGTCAAGCAACCTTTGGTGATCAAATGAATAAATGGAAACAATTTTTAGTTAACTTTTTAAAATGATTGTGAAATGTCCCCTCCTGCTGTATTAAAGTTGAAAACATCAGTAGCAAACCCCTTTATTAAAAAATTGAAAACATCAGTAGCTAACTCCTTTATTCAAAATTGAAAACCTAAATAGCAAACCACTTTATTTAAAATTAAAACTTCAGTAGCAAACCACTTTATTTAAAATTAAAACTTCAGTAGCAAACCACTTTATCTAAAATTAAAACTTCAGTAGCAAACCACTTTATTTAGAATTGAAAACATTAGTAGCAAACCACTTTATTTATAATTAAAACTTAAGTAGCAAACCACTTTATTTAAAATTAAAACAAAATGTAGCAAACCACTTTATTTAGAATTAATACTTCAGTAGCAAACCACTTTATTTAAAATTAAAACTTCAGTAGCAAACCACTTTATTTAAAATTAAAACTTCAGAGGCAAACCACTTTATTTTGTGTACAATCGTTTTTGAATAGATTAATATTATTTCCTTGTAATCACAATTGATTTAATTGTTCTCCTTATTCTTTACTTTGAATGTATAAATCATATTGCAACTTGACAAATAGCAAAAATCCAGAAACTCTATTTTTCTTTTTTAATTCATGTAAATACATTAAGCATGTAAAAACCTGTAAATGAATAATCTCATTGTTGACACCAGTTCTCCAGATATGAACTTCATGCTGTTTTTTGTCTGCATAATCTTTTTCTTGGTATGGCGTGTTTGTTTCCCACCTAATTTGTCCAAAGTCCACAACTAACTTTATCCCACCTGAAAGCAGCAAAAACAGAATAATACATACTTAAACCATAGTATAAATCAAATCTTAAACCGGTTCAAGTATTTATATTTGATTTCCTCTCTGGCAATCAATTTTTAAAGAATACATTTGAACTGCAAAACCTACAATAAGATTTTGCTAAAGTTTTCAGAAATGTGTTACTTCCCAAGATATTTCATTTGACACAATATTCAAAGGATTGAGTTTTCTCTCACGATTTCTTTGAGAGAGAGAGTTGCTGCTTACAGCAATGCTATTGTTTAACATCTATAAGTGGGGGAAAACTTATATGCTCCTGAAGAGTAAAAGCAGTTTTTTCCCAACAGTGGCACCTGTCATGTTGCTAATTTTAAGTAAAATAATAGGAAATAAGTTGCACTATGTGATGTCATAAATAAGGAATAAGAGGAAGATTTTGTGGCTATGGTAAGTGAAACATATTAGTGGCTATGGTAAGTGAAACATATTAGTGGCTATGGTAAGTGAAATAAAATTGAGAATGGAAATGGGGAATGTGTCAAAGAGACAACAACCCAACCACAGAACAGACAACAGCAGAAGGCCACCAACAGGTCTTCAATGCAGCGAGAAATTCCCGCACCCGGAGGCGTCCTTCAGCTGGCCCCTAAACAAATATATATACTAGTTCAGTGATAATGAACGCCATACTAAACTCCAAATTGTACACAAGAAACTAAAATTAAAAATAATACAAGACTAACAAAGGCTAGAGGCTCCTGACTTGGGACAGGCGCAAAAATGCGGCAGGGTTAAACATGTTTATGAGATCTCAACCCTCCCCCTATACCTCTAGCCAATGTAGAAAAGTAAACGCATAACAATACGCACATTAAAATTCAGTTCAAGAGAAGTCCGAGTCTGATGTCAGAAGATGTAACCAAAGAAAATAAACAAAATGACAATAATACATAAATAACAACAGACTACTAGCAGTTAACTGACATGCCAGCTCCAGACTTCAATTAAACTGATTGAAAGATTATGTCTTCATCATATGAATATCAGGCACAATCCTTCCCGTTAGGGGTTTAGTATCATACCATCATAACATATATGAGAAGAACATAACCCGTGTCATGCCAACAACTGGTTTTTAAATAAATGTGTTTAGTGCCGATGCAAAGACCCTATAAGTGAATCAATATTAACGCCAAAATATGCAATCTTTAATGACCTGACAACAGTATCGTAACTATATCCCTTCTTAATAAGTCTATTTAAAGGTTTTGTTAGTTTCAGAGGTGAATACTGACATTTTTGTGCTTTATAAAGAATATTTCCATAAAAAATTGGATGTGAAATACCTGAACGTATAAGAAGTCTGCATGTTGAGCTATATTTACGAATGATGTCCTTATACCGATGATAAAATTTAGTAAAACATATTAGTGAAACATATTAGTGGCTATGGTAAGTGAAACATATTTGTGGCTATGGTGAGTGAAACATATAAGTGGTCATCTGTGACACAGATATTCCACAACAGTACAAACATGATGGCATCTGTAAATATTTTTGAAAGATTAAGTCAAGTTTACCATTAAGAACCTCAATGTTTATATTACTTTGAAGTGTTTGATGACCTTATAATTTTCTATTTTCCCTTTGTTTACCTTTTTTCCTCCTAATTTCAGCACTTGAAAATTTGTCAAATAGTTGTCATGTTCTGATAAAGAAATACAAATAAAAAAAATGGTAATGATCCTACCAGCATTGTTCATCTTTAGTGATATGTAGTCTCCCTGAGTTGATTGCATTTGAAGAAGAATTCCTTGTTTCATCAATGTTCTAAAGCCAACCTTGATATCTGTGAATTTACTTCTCTCCAAACCATTTGTTGTGGTTTTCAAGTCAAAAACCAGCCTTGTATGGCTAAGTAGACTCAAACCTATTCCTATAAAAGAGAAACAAACACTTGAATTTCTGTAATACAGTTAATCTAATAAAATACAACAACATCCATGCTGTATATATATATGCTTGAATTTCATTGGTTAAGATCATGGACATTGAAAAATTCCAAAAGTAATTTGATTGTGTAAATTATTCCAAAAAAGGTATTTAACAGATTTTCAAATGTTTAAGTTCTATGAGTCAACAGTTAGAATGAAAGATTTCAAAGATGAATCCAGATGAAACATGATTCGCCAGATTAACCCAAATTATAAAGCTTATGGGCAAAATATGTAAAACATCTCAATAGAAAATAAAAAATTTAGTAACTAAATGTCTAAATTTCAAAAGGATTGGAAATAATATGTTGCAAAGTGGTTTAAGCTTCATTTAACCACTTGAAGTGGAGTGTTAAAATTTATAAAAATTCGTAAGGGTTCCGCGGAACCCAGTGTCTCGCCTACTTTTGCTGTTAATCGCAGGCTCAACAAAAATGAGGAAAAAAATCAATAAAAATATTCCTCTCTATACTATCTTTTGATTGTAAGTAGCTTCTGTCCAAGTTTGGTAAAAATCCAGGATAATTTATGAATCTAATAAATGTTTTAAAAACTTAAACTGCAGACTGTATGTAATGTTGACTGGAAGAAAAGTCCATTTATAAGTAAAATACGGAAAAAATGGAACAAAATTTTATCAAAATTTCCTTCTAGATACTAGCTTTTGATCATAAACAAGCTTCTGTCCAAGTGTGGTACAAATCCAGGATAGTTTAAGAAAGTTGTTAAAATTTTAAAAACTTTAACCACAGAGTGAATGTAATGTTAACTGGCAGAAAAACTAAGTCCATTTATAAGTAAAATATGGAAAAAATGGATTTTTTTTTAACAAAATTTACTTCTGGATACTATCTTATGATCATAACCAAGCTTCTTTCCAAGTTTGGTAGAAATCCAGGATAGTTTAAGAAAGTTATCAAAATTTCAAAAACTTTAACCACAGAGTGAATGTAATATTTCCTGGCAGAAAAACTAAGTCCATTTATAAGTAAAATACGGAAAAAATGGATTTTTTTTTTTACAAAATTTACTTTTGAATATAATCTTATGATCATAAACAAGCTTCTGTCCAAGTTTGGTAGAAATCCAGGATAGTTTAAGAAAGTTATTAAAACGACGCCGACAGAATGTAGGATTGCTATGTCTCGCTTTTTCAACAAAAGTCAAAGGCTCGACAAAAAGATATGTATATTGTTAGCTATGTCAGGAAAAAAATTGGTTCACTTTCCATATATTTTTTCTTGATGTTCAGTAATTTATGACCTTCACCTGTCTCAACACACTAAGCAATTTTATTGGTTGCCTGTTTCAACTATGCAAATCCTTATTCCAAAAATATGATAACATAGGGATTTTCCATTCAAAGTGTTTAAGCCAAGAGAGATAACTCTAATTTATTTGTGTTCCTCCTATCAGGGAATAAATGGCACTTTTCTTTTATAGTCTGTTATTTCAAATTAATTTCTGAAAAGAATAAAGGATTTAGGAAAGTTAATTTTATTGATATTTAATTGTTTTATATATTCAAGAAATATTGAAACATGTATTTATCAAATCTTAATTATTTTTTCATTTGAAAATTTATGTAATCTAGTACTAATTTTTGTATGAATAAGTAATAAGCAGTAAAATTTTATCACATCAGTAAAGCCTTACTGCCTTGTTTTTAGTAAGATATAACAAACATAAGGAGCCTGTAATTAAGTGGTTGTTGTTTGTTGCAGTATATCATATTTGCTTTTCGTTCATTGTTTTGTACATATATCAGACTAGTTAGTTTTTTCCTATGAATTGTTTTATATTACTCATTTCAGGGCCTTTTATAGCTTACTTTGAGGTATGTGTTTTGCTCATTGTTGAAGGCTGTACAGTGTGAGACCTATAGTTATTAATTTAACATCGTTTGGTCTCTGGTGGAAAGTTGTTTCACTGGCAATCATACCACATCTTCTTATTTTTATATAAAAATAAATCTGCTAAAATGCTCAAACTATTCTGAAACAATGTGAACATAATTGAGCACATGCAATTATGTACACTTTCCTTACTTAATACAAATAACAAACAGTGTTTGCAACGTACTGAATTGGGAAGTGACCACCTCAAACTTTATAATCAAATACAAAATATTTATATAGTATTTAAGGTTATCATAAAATCAAATTATACTTTCAATTAGTGTATGGGTATGAGTATAATAAGTAATTAATCTGAACACATGTGAGTTTAGATGTTGCAGTTAAACGGTAAATATTTAAAAAAAATTGAAATATGAAGGATTTACATATACCCTGAATGAAAATTATAGAGGATCGTTTACATTTTAGGACCTCCTTAAATACAACAATTTTGACTAAATCAGAGCCTCTACATACTATGAAGCTGAAGCAAAATAACTAATACATAGAATATAAAAATGACTAAGTTTTGGTGTAAATCTTAGATATCATAAATATAAATAAACATTCCAATGTCTTTTTCGGTTCAATTATGATCTTTGGTTACTATCTAATTAGCCATTGAAGAGATCTGTCCTTTATTACTGTTTATAATATGGGTTTGTTGTTCAAAGATAAAACAGACCTACACTGATAACTTTATTAACTAATAATTCAATTTTGGATGTAACATGTCTTCTGATTGGCTGAAAGTTTTTTGTCTATCCGCTCATAGACATAATTTTGTCATATGACTGTGACTTCATCAACGTTTTTTCATGATTTACTCCTTAAAAATGGAATTTAAAATTAAATTATAAAGAATGACTAATATTTTTTAGAAATAACCTCAGCATGATGCAACCACAGAGGTCGGACCCTGAACAGCTGGGGCAAGTATGGACACTACATCCAAGCTTGATACAGCTCTGAATTTGGATTGTGAATATTACTTGACACATTATAGGTTCCTTACACAGAATAAATGTGGTCAAAGAACTGAAAAATTTGAAATTGGACTTTTACCTATTATGGTCCAATATCCAAAATCTGAATACACAATTGAATTAGATTCAGCATATCATAGAACCCCAAGAATATAATTTTTGATGAAATCAAACAAAGTTTAATTTTGGACCTTTTGGACCTCAATGTGGACCAATTTGATAACAGGGCCCTAAAACTTCTAAATCTAGAAACAAGGTTAGATTCAACATATCAAAGAACCCATATATTCAATTATTGGACCCTGATTTGGACAGATTCAGCATATCCAAGTACACCAAGAATTTAATTAATAATAATTTGTTTATTAATGGACAATTTAATGAGCTAAGTTTTAAAAGTGTTCGCTTCATACAGCATTCTGAAAAGTAATTTATACAGAATAACAAACAAACTATCACGAAGTTCTTCAAAAAATTCACAAAAAAAATGAAGAAAGATAATTTCCAAAATATCATTCCCCATTGATACAGTCCTACAGAAAAATCCTACAAGAAATTGCATCAAAATGATGATGGATTTAAAATCAGCTTACAGCCACACCACTTAGAAAACACAAAATTTTCAAATAAATTTGTCACTCTAATTATAGGTGTATTACTATTAGTTGATGAATACCACATGTGTGTGTTTTTTTTTTATTATAGGTGGTAATTGCTGCATGGATGAATTAATAGTAAATAGACAATTCTTATCTATATTCATAAATGTGAATATTTAGTTTATTACAAATGTAAATATGTATTACAAATTGTGTGTAGTTTTTATAGGAAGACAAATATATTTTTTCAAATAATAATAATAATAATGATAATAATGATAATAATACATGTAATAATAATTCTTTTATCGAAAGGGTTACACAGTAAGCTATAAAACTAATATCCCCTGATGCCCTCATGAAATATATTGAAACACAACAAACAAAGAATTATAAAATAATCAAACAAAATCAAATATTAGCTAATGTATAGGAATTAATACATCACAAACTTTCATTTATTCATTTTAATATCTAATTGCCATGACTAGTTATAAAAATGTTAAAATAAACGAAATTTCAATTAAATTCATTGTTCCTGTCCTGGAGTTGAAATAATCCATATTAACAAACTCAGTTTTTTGTTTTAAACATCTGTTTGTTAAGTTATATCAAGGAGGTTATATGAGAAGGAGAGTGAACACTCTGCTTGATATAAAATTATCATCCCCAGGATAGCAATTCGATCAGAGGAAAATGATAAAAATATAAAGAAACCGACATGTTTATCACCCACTTGATATGGTCCTCTGATGTACCAGGCTGTTACCGCGAACAGTCCTTGTGATTAGGAGAATCGCTAATGTCACGTTATTGTAATCGGTGACTGGGTCATTAAAATACAGGTGTAATTATCGTAACAAATTAGTTTGAATGTATTTATATTGTGCAATAACATTTGACGTGAAATTCGATAATATATCGTCTAACTACAGCAAAAAACGACCAAGTAATGACAAAGTTATGTGGGTTTAAAGAAATTTAAGAATACAATTTCTATTGAACTCCACCTTGCTTTAAACAAAGATTTTCGCTTCACCTGTATCACGCTGCCCATGATAATTGGTAGGTAATATCATAGAAGATAGAGGAATATGTGAGATACTTTTGTTACTGTGACCGGTTGCGACCGGAGCGAATATTTGTAATTGAAACAGAGAGAAATTTATCGAGAGCCAGCGAAAAGTTTGTTTCTCGTGGCGTTAGGCTGTAGATATAGGCATAGGCACTTAGATTTTCACTTCCCATGTAGGCTCCTAGAAATGGGAAATGGTAGGTTATATCCTCGAAAGGAATATGTGAGGTACATTTGTTAAAGTCACGGTTCCGGGAGCGATCTTTTTTTTATTGAAACAGAGGAATCTGTCAGAGAACCACCAAAAAGTTACAGTCTTTCTCCGGGTGGAATGCTGTAGACATCTTGACATGGCAGTTTTTTTTTTTCTTTAAATCGTTTCTG